ACACACACACACACACACACACACACACACACACACACACACACACAGAGTGAGATATATATATATGTGTGTGTGTGTGTGTATATATATATATAAATTTTAAGACTTTAGTTTTAATTAAGAGCATATGTATGTGTCTCTGTGTGTGCATTGGCATGCCAGTGCTGGTAGAGACCAGAAGAATGTCTTATCCATGGAGCTAGAGTCACAGCCAGTTGTGAGACTCTTAATGAGGGTGCTGGGAACCAAACTGGGGTTCTCAACAGGAGCAGTAGGTGTTCTTAACCTCTGAGCCATCACTTCAGGCCCCTGCTGCCCGAACTTAATTCAAATTAAAAACAACAGTGCCAAACTGCTAAGCTCTGTGCACTGGGACCCTGCCCAGAGGGCCACATGTTTGTGATATCTGTCATGGGGAGGAAGGGATAAGGGAGTCAGTAAGATGGAGGGGCAGAGGTTTTTAGGGACTAGAAGAGGAGATTCAGTCTGTAGAGCAGGTGGCTCACCTTAGGGGCTTGGCTCCTGCTAGCATGCTGGTCTCCACCCAGCCGGGCCAACAAGCATGGGCGTTTTGGCACATAGAAAGTCAACTGCCAAACAATACTAGCTGGTTTTGTTAGCTGGGGTTCTTCCTCCACCCTTCCCATCCATTGCCAGCAACTGGGTGTCCTGGGCAAGAATGGGCCTGGCACTGGGGCCCTAGTGAGAGACAATGGGCGGTGCCTCTTGGGGACCAGCTTACAAAAGAGGAAGAAGAGGGGGACGTGCCAGGGAGAAGGACTCCCCATTCACAGGGTCATTTGTCTCTTCAGGAAGAGACAACCATCGGTAATTACGCCGCGGGATCGGAGGTAAACACCTGTTTTTCCATACTCTCTGGTGTGTCCCCATCTGTCTCCTCCGGGACTTCCGTAACACCCTGCTTTTTTGCCTAGGGCTTTAACAGTCAGTTCCTGAACCTTGACAAGCTGCAGTCTGTGAGTATGATTCCCTAGCGTGGCTCCCACGGCTTGCCCACCGCACAGAGGAGACAGCTTGCAAACTTCCCGGGCCCGTCTTCCTCTCTTTCACCGTGCTGGGTGGTGCACGATGGCCTCTGGAACTGACTGCCTTCTGGCCTCTCTTTCTTCCCCCACAGGCTTTCAAGACTGACGACTTCCTGAACTGGCATGCCCTCAGTGATGTAAGTCCTTCGGTTGTATTGGAGAGCCAGGCACGGTGAAGCATGCCTGTAATTCCAGCACTCCCGTGCCTGGGGTGGGAGGACTGTGAATTCAAGGCCAGTCTGGGATACATAGTTAAGGCCCTGATTTGAAACAAACCAACATTTTATCTGAGTCCTCTCATTTCTTATGAAGAAATGGGGTTACCCAAAACAAGAAAGTAGATTCAGAGGCGCACCCAGATCTAGTGCCCTTGGCTCTGTGCGACCCCTTGCAAATGTCTTTGGTTCTTTGAGCCTCCTGGTCGGGTCTTCATCTGGGATGTGGGAGATGAAGGAGATGCTGACCTGGGGAGGCTGCTCTGTTGCCTAAATGAAGGCATGTTTACATAGCAGCAGATGCCGGACAGACACAGAGTGAGGCTTCCAGAATGTGGGCTCTGACTGTGCTCATAAACCCAGTTAATAGCACCTTGACACTCAGTGAGCACACTAGTGTGTGATTCCAGTGAGTGGTCACCAATCCCTGCTTCATCAGTGAGCGTTTACTGATCCTTACTCATTTACTGAGCACTTACTGATCCTTGCTCATTTGGTATTTACTGATCCTTGTTCGTTCATTGATGGCTGCTTACCTGACCTCATTCTTTCCTTTCAGATGTTCAAAAAGGCGTTTCCTTTCATCAACTGGGAATTCTTCCCTAAGGTAAGAGTAATTAATGCTCATTCAGACTGAGGAGAATGGGGTGTGGGGACTCTGCAGGAAGGATGGCCCTTTCCCCATGGTTCAGAGCCATCTCAGCTACTATATTCTGAAGACAATGGAAACCCAGACCAAGCTGAGAATTCTTTTCCACCGAAGCTCCACCCATTCTGACTTTGTTAGAGGGTTCCAACCCCGGGGGGTCCCCAATCTGACATACACCCCTTGCCCTTCAGGTAAAAGGACTGAGAAGTGCAGTTCCCGATTCCCAGTGATCATTCTCTTTAAGACCTAGGACCTAGGCTGACCCCACGGAGAGGAGGCTAGCGTAAAATCCGACGTCCATTCTACGGCAAATCTCCCCTGGCTCTGTACCTCCAATAAAGTGTTTTCCACCAGTCGAGTGGCTGCTGGATCTCTGTTTCTGTTCTGATCCTGCTGGGCTCTGGGGAAGAAGGAAGAAGAATTAGTTCTGAGAGGATTGTAAGCAGACAGGTGGGAGGAAACGGGAAGGAGTCCATCTTGCACAGCGAGCTAATCTCCTAAGTCAAGTTCCTAGAGTTTATTCACAAGTTACCTCTCAACTGGGGATGAGGGATGAGCTGGATCCACCTCGGCAAGAATAACAGATGGGAGCGTTGAAGAGGCGAGGAAACCAGGCGGTGTTAGGAGTGAGGGATGGTGATTGGCTGGGCATGAGGGATGTGATGCTCCATTGAGATTCCAGGCTCTTCCTAGGATGCTGGTCCTGATGGCACATTAGCCTCACCTGTGGGTGAAGTTTTTGACCAAAAGACACTTGTGCAGGCCTAAGTGAAGAGGGTGGTGACTTCAGTTGGTTTGAGTCTGATAAGACAGTTTCTAGATTCTTGTTCCCAGGACAACCACAATTAGAGCTATATAGCCACACTGGTTTGTGTGTGCCTAAGGGGAGAGCTGGCAGGGAAATACTACTTTATTGTTTAGCCAAGTGACTTCCAAAATCACTAGTGAAAGGTAGTAACCCTAGTCAGCTAGAAGCTGGGGTGGAGGTTCAAGTTTTATAGAAAACTTTAAGAAGGGTGATTGCATGTGTGTGTGTGTGTGTGTGTGTGTGTGTGTGTTTCAGAGTGACCTCAGTGTTTTCCACTGTGGCTCTCATCTTATCTTTTGAGGCTTCTCATTAAACTCAGAGCTCATCAACCCACTAGATTCAGTGAGTTCTCAGGGTCTGCCTGTCCTTCCTTATCCCACCCCTAGTGCTAGCTAGGGTTACAGACATGCAAAGCCAACTCCAACTTTCAGATGGGTGCTGGGGATCTCAACACTCACACCCTCATGATTGTGTGATAGGTGCTTTACAGACTGAGCTTTCTCTTCTCCACCCTCTGGGTTTTAAACCTTAACTTGGGCAGGGTGTGAGGGTGCAAGACTTTAGTCCCAGAATTCAGGAAGCAGAGGCAGGTGAATCTCTGTAAGTCGGAGGCCAGTCTGATCTACAGAGTGAAACCTTGTCTCAAAAAAGGAAGAAAGGAAAGAAGGAAAGAAAGAAGGAAGGAAGGAAGGAAAGAAGAGAGGGAGGGAGGGAGAAAGGAAGGGAGAGAGGTAGGAAGGGAGGGAGGGAGGGAAGAAGGAAGGAGGGAGAGAGGAATAAGAAACATATAAACTTTCACAGGAATGAGAGAAAGACTCAAAGAGAAACAATTTGTTAATTTCATTGTGGGGACTGGTTCCAAAACCAAGTGATTAAGAGACTCCCTTGTGCTTTGGTATTGTCTGACCGTCTCAGACATAATGAAGATATGTGCTTCTTAGTAAGATGCCCATCAATTCAAACTTTCTCCCTGACCTGTGACACCATCCCCACCCACCTTCTGAAAATATAAACACTTTTGTGACAGTTTAGTATGATGGAGCTGTCTGGAGCCCAAGGTTTGGCACCCAGCTTAAATCATGTGACCCATTTGAAATCTCTTCCCTGCCCTTCCGTTCCGTTCCCTTCCCTCCTCTTCTTCGTCTTCCTCTCTCTCTCACTCAGGAAAGTTGTAAACAAAGAAACTAGTGCCGTGACTCTGGGCTTTCTCAGCTTGTGTGTATCTGTGAAATGAGTGAAGGAACAAACAAGAATACTAACAATTACACTGTAGTCTTGCATGAAGGTTAAATGAAATAAGCGTAAAAAGTTCCCTTGTACAGGGCCAGACATACAGTAGACACTTTATTATCTGCCCTCTCCAGCTCCCACATTCAACCAGAGACCTACCTACTGAGGCATTCCTTCGCCTACCTACTTACCCACCCATCCAGACATTCACCCTTGCACCTGTGTATCCTTCCACCCATCTATCATGCATTTTTTTGATTTTTTTTTGAGACAAAGCTTCTCTGTAACTTTGGTGCCTATCCTGGAACTAGCTCTTGTAGACCAGGCTGGCCTTGAACTTACAGAGATCCTCCTGCCTCTGCCTCCTGAGTGCTGGGATTAAAGGCATGTACCATCACTGCCCGGCTTCTATCATGCATTTGTACATCATCCATTCATGCATCTAGCCATCCATTCATCATTCATCCATGTCCGTATGCTTCTGTGAATATTCATGCACTTATCCACCTGTGCATGCAGGGATGGTTGGTTGTACATGCATCCATTCCTGCATCCATTCATTCACACATACATACATACTTAACATGCATCCACTGACGAAATTCGGTATCTGCTTTCCTTGCTTGTAGATGAAATGAGAAGCACATGTGCATGGGTGGGGAGTCAGACCAACCAACACGTGTGCATGTGGGGAACCAGGTGGACCTAGTGAAGGGACAAGGGGAACTTTAGTCCTTGTCCAGAAATGGACTTGTCTGTTGGTGAAGTCAGTGCCTCATTGGTGTAGGAGGGTGTTGCTTTCATTGGTTAAATAAAGAGACTGCCTTGACCTTTTGATAGGGCAGCAGCTTAGATAGGCGGAGTAGACAGAACAGAATTCTGGGAAGAAGGAGGCAGTGTGGCAGACACCATGGTTCTCCTCTTTGAGACAGACACTGGTTAGACTCATGCCAGTAAGCCACAGTCAAGTGGCAATACACATTAATGGAGATGGGTTAAACTAATATGTGAGAGTTAGCCAATAAGAGGTTAGAACTAATGGGTCAGGCAGTGTTTAAATGAATACAGTTTCCGTGTAATTATTTTGGGTAAAGCTAGCCAAGCGGCCGGGAGCCGGGCAGGACGAAAAGCAGCCCGCTCCCCTTTTACAGGAGCCAAGATTGTGTCTTCTGGGGACCCGACTCTTTCCCTTGGGCTGTGGATATCAGTCCTTAGGCTGCTGTGTCTGAGGTGTCCCACATTCTCTTGGCTAACACTGTCTGACTTAGCCTTCTGCTGACCTTGGCCACCTCCCCCTTGCAAACAGTACAGAGGATGCTGTTTGCTCATGCAAGACCTCCCGACCCCAGCTTTCACCTGCTCCGACTTCTATCTTCTCTACCGTTCTCATCCCTCCCCCGCCACCTTTCCATTAAGATCCTGTCATTGAAGAACAACCTGCTGGTCCAGGTCATACATGTGTTTACACGCTTCCTTTTAGTTAAGTAACAAGCATACAAAAGCGAGGAAACTATAAATGGATGATCATTACAGAAAAAGAAACAAAAGATTTGCCAATACAATACACACACACACACAAATGGGCACTCAAAAGTATGGAGAAGGGGTAAGGTCTTTAAAAGACATTCACTGAGTGATGAGATTTTAAAGGGAGGAAAAGGGGGTCTTAAAAGGATGTCAATCAACCCAAACTCAGAAACTATGAAAGTAAAAATGATTTTATTTGGTGCCTTAGGAATTGCACTTAGAAGACACTGGTTCAGACAGTCTCAGTCAGACTTCCAAGGATGGAGGCAAAGTGGGAACTCATATGTGAGAACAAACAAGGAGATGTCTGACTGATGGGAGATAATGAGGTGTAGCTGGGCATGATGTCAGGAGCCTGACGTCCTAGCTCGGTTCTTCCCTTTTCATCTTTCCGAAAACTGAGAGTCATCCCACATAGGTTAAGAGTGTCACTGTGGTAAAGTGCCAGTTTATAGACTATGGCCCCCATGTCCAAAGATTCCAAGTTTGACACCCAGTGTGAGACCAAACCTGTTCCTGGACGCCAGGGACACCTGACTCTGGAGGTCCCAACACACCAAGTCAGGCTGTTGCCCCTGTAAATCTGCATAAAGAAGAATGGTAGTGTAGCGAAGAGGTCATCCATGTAGCTGTGGTGGGAAGGACTGGCAGGACCAAGCATCCCCAGCCATGTCTTCAACAAGCAAACGAGAGCTTTGTGGCTCTACCCAGAAGGACTAGAAAGGGCTAGGCAGTAGGGAGAGTTCAGAAGTCTTTGTCAAGCTGTTGTCTCTTGACTGTGACTTCAGAATGGCCACAGGGAGCTTCCTTGCAAAGGGGGAAACTCGCTACTGCCTTCGGGAAGCTCTGATTCACATGGGACATTTATCCATCAGATCTTTTGTTCCCGGATTCCAGGGTGACTGCAAGAGATAGGGACTCAGAGCAGGGGATGAACCAGAAAGGCAAGAAGAAACTAGTTCTTCTAGACAAAGGCAATGAGTAGAGGTGTCAGGATGGTCTTCCGGTGGGGCAGGACAAGAGTTTTGCTCTTTTAGTGTTTGAAAGTCATATGGAGAGAAGATATGTGACTGGTGTGTGTGTGTGTGTGTGTGCAATTTCAAGAGGAATGTGCGTGCGCATGTGTGTGCAATTTCAAGAGGCATGCGTATTGACGCGTGTTCGCTGCTGCCCGGGGAGAGTATTGTGCTCCCTCCCTGCCTTCTTTTGAGACACAGCATCTTACTGAATTGGAGCCAGGCCAGCAGCCAGCCAGCCCTGATGACTCTTCTGCTTCTATCCCACACAATGCTGTGTTTTTATGGACACACATGCAGCTGGGATCTGAACTCGGGTCCTCAGGTGTGTGTAGCATGTGCTGTTATCCACCTCTTTGCCCCTTGGAAGAGAACACTGTCAAAGCCTACGGATGGTGGTCTGCTGAAAAGTGGTTCAGAGCTCTTGTCAACTTTACTCAGTCTCGAGCCGTGTGTGAAAGGGGAACCTCAACTGAGAAGACGCCTCCATCAGACGACCTGTGGGGCACTTTCTTCATTGACGATGGATGTGGGAGAGCCCAGTCCACTGTGTGTGGTGCCACCCATAGGCAGGTGAACATAGTTGTATGAGGAAACCATGAGGAGCAAGCCAGTATGGAACATTCCTCCACGACCTCTGCTTCAGCTCCCGCCTCCCAGTTCCCGCCTCCAGGTTCCTGCCATGCTTCCCCCGATGATGGACTGTAACCTGTAAACCAAATAAACCCTTTCCTCCCCAAGTTACTTTTGGTCATGACATTTTTATCACAACAACAT